TGTATATATATATATATATATATATATATATATATATATATATATATATATATATATATATATATATATATATATATATATATATATATATATATATATATATATATATATATATATATGTGTGTGTGTGTGTGTGTGTGTGTGTGTGTGTGTGTGTGTGTGTGGTGTGTGTGTGTGTGTGACCCCGCACTGGGCGATTTTGAGCAAACACTGTTTATACGCATATCAGGTCAAATTTGTCAACTTTCAGATGTCTCTATAAATTTCTTCATAAATACCTTATCTATTGTCTCCAAGTGAAAATACAATAAAATTCTATTCCAAACAATGTTTTTGAAGGCGTTTTTTGAAGCATGGACCTTGGCCAGTTTTGAAGAAAAAGTGCCGAAAATTCAACCAAATTCAACCACAGAAAAGATCTTGCTACCTAGGCTACTCATGCCGAGTGCCCCCCCCCCCCTCTCCTCCCACTCCTACACCCTGACTCTGCCTTCTCTCTGAACATTTTGAATGAAGATTTTGGTGATCAGTAAGCCCAGGGTAACATTCTGATATCATTCAGTAAAAGCTACAAGTTCAAAGATTGAAAGAATACTACAGTTTGTCTTTATTGCCAATCCATTGTTTCTTCTGCTTTTATCAGTTTTTTAATCCAAGTTAAGTGGATTAAAAGTCTGTTAAAAAAAATATCCCTATCTTATTATGAAAGCAGAGACAACACTTCTGAACTTAGTACTGACCAGCTGAATGTAACATTTCCAAATAACCGAATTGCATAAGAAATAAGCACCATCAACCTGTCAGGTGCATTTTCGTCTTGATAAAAAATCATGGATCTGTAACCCAAAATGTTTAAGTAAACTATTCGTGTTAAGTATTTTTTATTACACAAAACAATATAAACAACTGAAGACAGTCAATGACACTGGTATATGGAATTAACTGCATAAAGAATATGCTCATTCTGGTTTTAATAATAAGTATTCATTAATATCACACATACACATAATCTTCATAGTAAATAATCATGATCAATGCAAGAAAAATCACTGTAAATAAGTTTCATTTTACTTTTAAGGTAAAACATCAATATTTTTTTGTTTTTATTTTGCTCTTTTTTTGATAAATATATAGATAAAATATCAAGAAAACAACAGATCATGCACTAAAGTTTTATCCAGAAAAAAAAAAAAAAAAATCACTCGGTAAAAAAAAAAAGAAAAAGATACAAGACGAATAAAAGGAGACAAATTTTTCCGTTATCATTCTGCTTGGGTTATAATTTTGCCATTATGTTCCCATGAATAATGTCATCCTGTCTTCTTAGAATTTTATCATTTCTAGATAATCTGAAAGAGAGCACTCCATTGCTTCATATATATGACATATGAAAACCTCTCGTAGGAAAGACAAAACAAATTCAAAGAGCGTAAAATGCATCACATATATCTTTTATTATTTGCTCTCTATTGTGCACATTGTAACATATCAGAACTTAAAGTATCTTTGTCATAAAATAATAAAAAAAATGATAAAACAAAATAAAGCTAAGATATAACCATAAATCCTTTCAGTAGATAAATATATTGAGTTACTATTAGAATCTCTTCTGCATGGCATGTAACGGGAGCCACATTTCCAAAAAAAATATGTTCACAATAGTACAATATTTCCTCTAGGTCAAAAAGGGGTTCCAGTTGGCCGAGCTTCCGACTCTCGCTTTCTCACCCTTGTCTGTCTCTATCATGTCCGTAAAATCAAGGGTGTTGGCCGACTGCTGGCCCTCGGGTGAAGTTAGGATGGTTTGCCGGATCTTCCTGATTTTTCTTAATCTCTCGAGCCAATTGCTGGCGTATGGATTATGGGGTGGACGGTTTAACGACTCCCATATCATGGAAGCAAGCTGAAAAGACAGAATAGATTTTAGCTTAACACGGTTGGGAATAATTTTCTCTGATGCACAAAATCTTAAATATTGCTATAAATAATGCCTGAGAGATAATGGTATTATAGAATATAATAAATGAATCATATAAGTATCAAGTTAATAAACTGCAGATACTAAGAGCATGTAAAAAATGGCTTATCTTCAAATCAAGCTAGCAAATACCGGTGAAAATAACAACCCAAGAGAGGCTAAAAGACTACCAGATCATAATAAGTAAATGCCCTAAAATCAGGTAGCAATAGATCCAAAAATTGATGATGATGATGTTGATGATTGATGACGATTGATGATGATGATAATGATGATGATGATGATGATGATGATGATGATGATTAATGATGGTGATTCATGATGATGATGATGATGATGATGATTCATGATGGTGATCATGACTGATGATGATGATGATGATGATGATGATGATGATGATGATGATGATGATGATGAATGATGATGATGATGATGAATGATTGATGTTGATGTTGATGTTGATGTTGATGATGTTGTTGATGATGACTGATGTTGGTTGATAATGATGATAATGAAGAAAACAATCTTTTGCCGATGGCTGATGAACAGTAACGAAGAGAGGTAGAAGAAAGAAAGAAGAGGAGAAGACAAGCAAAACAGCAAAGAAAGGGACATACACGGACAAAATCTGTTGCGTAGATTTAATGTTAGTGACCAAAGGGCTTGCCAGAATGAAGCATTAAGTTCCATTTGCGGATAGAATTGGGAGAGGTCTATTTTCGATTGAAGTACCCATGGGACTGGCATATATTCGAGTGTGTCCCCTATAATTTTGAGCTTATGTTCACCGCTGCTCAGATCAAAATTCTAAGCTCCAATCTTCTGCCTAGGTTTCAGGAATCAAGGTACCTACCAACGCAGAATACTAATTATGATTAGGTAGAAGTGTTGTCGGTGGGGGATCCGGGACTTAATGTAGTCACCAAACATAGCCGTATAGCTAACAATGGTGTTGAGTTCCGACAACTTAGTAGACCTACTAAAGCGAGGGATCACCACAATAGGGAATAAGTATTATTAGGATTGTGTGATTCCTCACTGTGACCTATGAATTAAATAAGAACAAAAGCTGTCCAATACTCATACTCTTATATTACTATAGGGTATACATTTTTAAAATCTTGACACGTGGTATTTCTTATTGGAGTTGGTCTAATGCTTAAAAAATAAGATAATAAAGAATGAAAATAAGTATAGTTTTTTGACTCTTTTTTATCTTATCTGGGTGCTTGATTAGTGCCAAGTTCGATATAGATGAAGTCAATGACAAGGAGGAGATAAAATTCTTTATTATGTTATTTTACAATTTATAAAGGATGTACACAACCACAGGAGGTATTCTCTCTCTGAGTGTAAAGCCTAATTTTACTCACACACTACGCACTCTCACAATCTCATTATTTAATCTATTGACTGAAAATGTAACTAATTAACTATTCCAATAATTGCAGTACATGCACACTCTCCCGATCAATTTCATTCTTTCTCTCTCACTCTCACACTCTCCCCCTCACGTTAAGCAAAAAACTCAAAAACATACACACTCACTACTCTCAAACTCATACTACATTGCAATCAACACTTTCACTCAACACAGGGAATAAGGTTAGCAAAATATAAAGGAGGCACTCTCCACTTTTTGAACATGCTCTTGATCTCACTGCGACGACTAACAAAACAGCTTAATTTCTATCGGACAATATATACACAGCCTCTCATACTTCAATCCTCTGCTGCTCGCAACATCACACAAGAATCAAACCATAGACGCAATATTTTTCACAATTTCTCGAGCGGTACGAGTTAACCATTGCATCTAAAGTTTTGGATTTACCCACTCACACTTCATACACTTCTAAAACATGTGTATCACGTTTGTTCAAAAACAAGATCGAGATATTAGGTGATATATATATATACCACAAATAAGGTGAATCTAAATTATATCTTTCTTAATAGTATCCACTTTAGACCTTAATAGTATTGATTTTTGTCGAGTATGGCCACTGATCTTGATTGGTAATCTGACACCATTACTACAGTTGGTTATTTAACTCTAATGGTAACATTTTTAAAAATGCTATACTAGTTGTTTGGGCTCTATTTAATGTATTCTGTTATATCTTTACTCCTGTTGCAATCTCAGTGGAATAACTGACTCTTTCGTCTCCGAGGAATCGGAGCATTATCGGCATAGAGTTTAGGTCTATATTTATAGAAGTGTGTATAACTATCTCCTGGAAGGTAGCATATGTCCTTAGGTAAGTTAAGTCAATACATAATAGTCAATGAATAAAAGTAAGGGTAAATTTGCTAGGTGAACATTGTGATCATTCTTTATACTGTCTGTTTTGCACCTTAGTGACTATAATAAGCAAGCAGTAAATTTCATCGACTACTGGAGGGTAATCTAACTTGGATATTACTTTCTACTTTCGGTATTACTGTGGGATGAATGAATGAAAAACATTTGAGCACATTATAAAACTTTAACTCCCCAGAGGGCTTGCAGGGTTCTTTTTAAGGATAGGTTATCCAATGCTCATGGTCACAACACAAAAATGGCCTCTTAGACAGCGCACTAATATTAACAAGTGACTTAAAGAGTATCTTGGCTGGAAAGCTGATGCTCTAGACAACTCTTTTAAGGTCGCGGTATATGACGTTACAGCGCGAGTTTGAAATATGAAATTAACATCTAGGTGATATGAGAATGTCATGATGTATTCCTTTTTCCTAGTGAGAATAAGACAAAACAGTATACAGAAGACCATCCATATTTTGAAGAGCAGTGACCAAATGTATATTCTTATACTATGAATATTATCGGAATAGCTGAAAATTTGATGCAGCTTCACATCCTTATCTTTCAATCTTTTCTTCTATGTCTGCTCAGAAAATCTGTTCTGCCGTACAATATCTGTGTATCGTCGTTAAGCAACAAATCTATGTGAATCACAGCTTGCTTTTTTATATATATACCTACTGTCAGAGAATTTAGTAAAGTAACAGTATTTGTATTTCAATTATTTGAACTTGACATAAGCTTAAGCTTAAGCAGTACCTGCATAACATCGTCGGTGCACAAATTACACTAGGTTACTTCCTTACAATGCCGTCAAAACGCAGTCTATTTTTTCCAGTCTTATTATGAGACTAAAGAAATTGGAAGTAAAAACTAATGGATTGAAACTGGCCGTTAGAAAATTGTATATATCTTATTAGATTTCAACTATTAATAACAATTAGGTTTATTAATATACATTAGCTTTTGACTGTGAGCTGACTTACTTCTGAGCTTTTTTTGTGAACGAATTGTCCGTTTGCCGTTACCTTCACGTTGTTGTAGTGGTTTCTTTGATCAAAGGCTATAGAATTTTCCAAATATTGACTAAAAGCACTGTAGGGGGACATATTTAGCCAGAGCTGGGACAAACGCTTCCTCTCATCTTGAAACAGCATTTCCAACTTTCTAAAAAACATTGGGATACTGCATGCGGACTTAAAGGCAAGAATAGCTTGTCATTCTGCTGTTTCATCAGCTTAGCGACTCTATCGCGCGCCACAACAACCTGTAACCCCTTTCTGTCGTGTGAAAGCGATGAACACATTACACATCAGTAGGGCAAAACGACGATAGCTGCAATAGGTTTCGCGGGTCTCCTTCGGCCGGGCGTCCAGAAGCAACCTTGGTAGGCCTATAAGAAAGCTAAAGGGAATCAATGTACTCATTCGGGTCCTTAACTTCTTCTTCTTTGCTTTTTCTTTTGGTTTGTTGGTTTCTATTTGCTTTGGGAGTGAATTGCTTTCAACTGAATTACATTCAGAAGAGTTGTATTTCCATTACTATTAAACGTACCATCTATTAACTAAGTCAATCGACACATACAGTAGAAAATTCTAACATGTTTAAGAGATGTACGAGAATAGAGCTCTTGAAGGACACGGAGATGACTATATCGAAAGATTGCTCTCATATAACTGGTGCACTTAGCTTGTAGCCTTTTAAAATGAAGATCAGTGATTATATTGTACATATACCATCAAGTTATTGACATGTCTTAACTTCTATACTACAATGTTTTCACCGTACAAAGAGTTCTCTACAGATGCAATAAGTTATAAGGTTTAAATTATCAGGGGAACTATATGGTTTCTATATTGTTATTGGCGAGATCCCCATGGCGAGTGTAGGCTGAGACACTTGGTCTCCACAGTGTTTCTCCATTAGTTCGTTAGTTTGGAATTTAAGACAACCAAAATGGTACGTGGTCCAGGGGTGGGATCACCATAGAAGAGTTCAATTTGATTGACATTGGCTGGCTTAACCTCCCACTCCTATCATCCCTCCTTTACTATCCCCTCCCTACACCTCTTCCTTTCCCTCTCATCCAAAACTCCATATTACACTCACGCTCATACTCCTTCTCTCCGCACCTTCGCCAATATGGTACTCTCCTCTCACACTCTCCGTCTTCTCACTCTTAACACTTAGATACCCGTAATCTCTTCCACCTCCTTCCCTCTCTCCCACTAACTCATTCTCCATTGTCCTTCCCTTCTCTCCCTACGCTATCCACCTATCCCTTACCTCTCTCTCTGGTCCTAACTTTCGCCCATTCCACAATTCCCCATCATCTACCCTAACTTCCCTCACTTTCCACACTGAACTCACTATCGCGTTCTCACTATATCTCCCACTCCTTCCCTCCCTCCCCTACTTCCCTCCTTCCTTTCCCTTCATTACCTAAGTCTCCATCCTCCTCTCTCTGTCCTTCCCGTCCTTACCTTCCCTTCCCTCCCTTCGCTCCTCTCTTCAGCGCTCTCCTTCTCTCCCTCCCTCAACCGCTCTCTCGCATCTCGCACTTCCATATCTACGCCTCTCCTTTGCCACGGTCGCTTCTCCTCTTCTCCCTTCGCTTCCCCTCTATCCCGTCCTTTATACACCACCAGTATTCCTAATATTCTCCCCCTTAACTAAATATGCCACACTCCCGTCCGCTTGCCTATTCTGCCTCACCAAAATCCCATTGCTCCTCGCACCTTCCTCCTCTCCCTCCTCCCCACAACCTCTCTCCCTCTTCCCTCCCTCCAGTACCCTCACCCTCTCACCACACGTCACGCCTACATGCCCTTACAACACCTACAATGAAAACTCACAATAACTCACAATCACTTACTCCTCCCTCTCTGTAGAAACAGTCATAATACATTCCTAAGCCTCGCACTTCCCCATCTCACAGCGAATTTCTCCCTCTCCTCACATACTCTCCCTCCTCTTGCTCCCTCCGTCCTTTGCTCTGTCCTCTCCTTCCTCTCTCGCGCACCTACACTCTCTACTTACAATATACTTCATCCCAATTTTGTGCGTCTCCTTGCTAGGCTCCGCATATCACGCGTCTCTATCCGCTCACTCACTCCACCGGCACGCCTTGTCTTCCTCGCCAATACTTCCATTATTTTCCTCTTGCTGCTGCCATTGCTTGCCCCGGTTTCAACGAGCACACAGGGCCGTTCACTCTTCTCATTCTCTTCTTCTATCCCTCTCTCTCTCTACCTCCTCCTAACCAGCCATGGTAATACATGCCTCGTTACGTCCGACACCACAAAGTCCTGAAAATCTCACCAAAGGGAACGGGACATATTCTTTCTCTCCACTCGTCCGTCGTATCTCGTTGCACAGATAAAAATCGGAAACACTACTGCGAACACTCTCTCACACGTCTTGCCCAATCCTCTCCCTCTCGCTCACCTTCCCTCTCATCTCACATCATCCTCTCCCTCTCCACACTCGATCCTACCAAACAAACATCCTCGTCTGCACTGGTTCTCCTCTTACTCCTCGGTGAAATGCCCACGCCCAACTCACCTCTCCTTTCCCCTTCCGTTTCATCTCTCTCCTCTCTCCCTCTCTCTCCCTCCCTCTCTCCTCTTCTCATCTCTCCTCTCGAATCTCCTTCCTTACTTGTAATCTCCATCCTTTCCCTCTTCGGCTGCAATTGGTTCTTGCTTGTACTCATCTTCTTGGCTGCATTGGATGCTCGTGAGTGTAACTTGCGAGAGGCAGGGTTCATGTCAGATATGGTATGGCCTCTGCCTCTTCGCATGGGCCTTGGAGAACCATCGTCAACATCTGCATCTGGATTGCTTGAGCCGCCTGTGGTACTTCCAGGAGAGATGCTGCCACCACTTCCCACACTCTTCTGTATAGATTCAACATGTTTGATATTGTTTTATATATATTTTTCTTAGAATTTTAGTGCTTTGCCCTAGATATCTATTGTGAATAGAGGAGCCCAGAGACATAATGTTCCCTTTCTTTCAGTAAAGCATTTATCCAAATGTGCTCTACAGAACATTTCCATATATAATAGTCAATGAAAATAAAAAATCTTTGCCGAAACTCTTTTTTTTTCTCTCTTTCTTTCAAACAATTGTTTGAAACCAAGTACTTCTTAATGCTTTTACAAACAAAATAAAACACCACTTACAGCATCAAACTGTTTTATCATAATCAACATAATCCATTTAAAAAGGAAAGGAAAAATATAATAACAAGAGTAAAATTGGACAAAGATACATATAAAACAAGTCATGAAATAGCATGTACCTTCTACAAATTCAGGATTTACTGGCTTACCGTCTGATATGCAGAAGTGTGTCGTACTCTGGTGGCTGGGATGGGAGGAGGTGAAGTCGACCCAACACTCCCTCCGCCTCCAATGGTTGGCTCAAATCTGATGCCATTCAAGAGAGCAATCAAATTTAGTTCCGATAATATTAAATGGCAAAAAAAAAAAAAAAAAAACTTCAAGATTTTATATCAATTGCAAAGTTAATCATAACCAGTATAAGTCATTTATTCTGTCCAAGCAAAAGTAGTAGTCAATGACATGATCACAGCCTTATAAATATGTTAAAATGAAATCCTCATTAGAACTATACAACAAATTCCATTGACGATAACAAATGAGCACACTGTCTCACCCATCGCTCATTAATTCCATCCACTTCTGAAATAAAAGATAAATACCTAGGTTTCGGTTTTACTGGCTTGGCTACAGCTGACACGTGCTCAGTATCACTTGGCACGGCCTGTGGTGGGGTTGAGGTTGTGGTTTGGGGGTCCTCCTCGTCCACAGCTTGTTGCATGACTTCATTACCTCCTACGACAGCTCCCTCACTCATTTCTGGACTAGAATGGCATCGCTGGACAGGAACCCGTGGATCATCTGGGTTCTCTCCTGAGCATTTTTTACAAAACAGATTAACAGAGATATATAAAACATAATAATAATAATAATAGTGAAAAAAAAAATCAATACCAATAACAATGGTAACTAATTATAAAATATCAATTCAAGGCTTGCATCGAAAACAAATACATTTAAAACAACTACAACCCCATTCCCAGATTCCATCCTACGCCCACCAACACTTCACCCTGCTTACCAGAAGTGCTCGTGTTCGTCAGAGGAGAACTCCCCCTCGTGTCGTCACCCGCATCGGCCGAGTTTATCCGGGGGTCGGAGGAGGTGTGCGAGGGGGCACCACTGCTCCAACCACTAGAATCCCTCTGGGAACCTGGATCGGAATCTTGGGTCCTGTCCGATGCCCCAGAGAAGGCTCTCGGTCTTGTCTCCTCAAAGGGCTGACTCAGAAGCTCCTGCTGAAGTCACACCAAGTAACATCCAGTAAGTCTGAGCAATTTTGGCTTCTATACATGCGTGTATGTACATATGGTGGAGGTAGTGGGTGGATGTGGTGGCATATTGGGGAGGGGGAGGGGGAGGGGGAGGGGAAGGGGGAAGGGGGAAGGGTGAGTGAGTGAGTGAGTGAGGAGTGAGTGAGTGAGTGAGTGAGTGAGTGAGTGAGTGAGTGAGTGAGTGAGTGAGTGAGTGTGTGTGTGTGTGTGTGTGTGAGTGTGATGTGAGTGTGTGTGTGTGTGTGTGTGTGTGTGTGTGTGTGTGTGTGTGTGTGTGTGGTGTGTGTGTGTGTTGTGTGTGTGTGTTGTGTGTGTGTTGTGTGTGTGTTCATGTGTGTGTTGTGTGTGTGTGTGTGTGTGTGTGTGTGTGTGTGTGTGTGTGTGTGTGTGTGTGTGTGTGTGTGTGTGTGTGTGTGTGTGTGTGTGTGTGTGTGTGTGCGTGTGTGTGTGTGTGTGTGTGTGTGTGTGTGTGTGTGTGTGCGCCGTGTGACACCAAAGAAAATAAAGAATGGACAAAAAAAGAATCTCTCACCTCATACTTCTCGTCTTCCAGCGTTTCTGAATCGATTCTCCGGTTGGCAAATAACGGTCCCGAAAAATCCACGGACTGAGAGTTGGGTGTGTTAGCAAAGAGTACACTCAGGTCATGCAAGGGCAACTCTCCTCCCGAGGCGACAAGTGTCTGCTGATTTTGGACGCGCATCATCCACGACATGTTTCCTGTCATGTTAAATGAATATGACTGGTGATCCTTACTAACACTACTCAAATCTTGTTAATCAAATTATTATAGAGATATAACACTATGATGGTTGCTACCACATTACTTTTGTCTATCTTTCTCAATAGAATTCTATCCCAAATGGAATATTCAACATGGAACATACAAAGAAAAGTACGATGGTTTTCTGAATACAAAACAGAGAGCATATGCATGTACCAATCCTCTCACAACCATAATATACTATCCTCCCCTGAGTTTAAATTTACTGATGCAGCTTCATAACTTCAGTATTCAGTACTAGTCACTTCTCTTTCTGAAGTTTACTGAATGATTTCCCTAAATCATTCATAAGGTTACTTTATTATTGAAAATGGAAAGTGAGAAAGATAAAAGATAAAAATCTTTTTCGTTCATAGTTGGTAGTTTTGAACAAACTAGCAGGAACTATATATCTGATATCTCACAAAATATTATGGCTTCTATCTAAGCTTACTAATGAACAAAGTACAAGATTCTGACAAAAGAAAAGAGTAGTATAAAGATAACAAGAGTGATTTCCTTACATTAAAATTATAGAAAATATGGAAAAGAACCTACATTTTCCTGCAGTACACAGAAAAACAGAAAAACACGTACATTCACAAACATAAAATTTATGAAATTCCAAAATTCACATTGAACTTCACTGCCCAACCCAAATTACAAACCTGTAGGCTGTCTGATGTATATCTCGGCCCAGCCCTGGCACCAGCAAGCACACAAATGCTGCTCTACACGCTTGTTCTCGTTGGGTGCTGTGCTACTGCTTCCTACATTGCTGCCAAACACCAACTTATCAACTGGTGATGATTCGCTGTCGCCCGCCTCTCCCATATTGCTGCTTGACCAGGCTACACCATCACCTAAAATTAGACACAATAAATGCAAAGTGAGTACACAGCTTATTATATGTCTCATTCCATATTCTGAACTTAAAAGTGATTCATTTCCTTCAAACAAAACAATAAATAAATAATAAATGATGAAATCAATCAAATCTCAAAATGCCCATATCAAGAAAATCAAATAAAAAAGGACCAATGCAATACAAGATCTATTTCTACTGATGGTTAAGGCTATGCTATCATTAAGCATATTCTCCAACTTTTGGTTCAAAAAAGTCAAAATATCTTAAAATTCCCATGACGAGAAAATTCAAAGTTATTATATTTTCCCATTCCCCTGTAATAATAAACACTGAAAACATTGCCAAGCATAAACTATATGGTATATCACACTAAGAGTACACAGAAAACACAAACCCAAGACCACGGACACTCTTACAAACAACAAATGCAAATTTAAACATACACATATAATCATATTCTGACACACGACCATAGATATACAAGAACATAATTCAAATAAAAGAATAATCTAATACAGCTTGCATGTATACACCCATATACAAGAACATTAACTTCATGAAGAGATATCATTTGAATACATTAAACAGTATTCCCAGATCATATTATGCCATAATTATGCAGCAACCTCTATCACAATCCACATTAATCACAAAAGTAGGATGGAGAAACAAAATGCACTATCAGCTCACAAGATGGAAAGAGATCCATATTAGAAGAGGCAAATCACAGGCTACCTACTGGCCCTTTTGTAAAGTGTGTTGCAAGTTCTAAAATTAACAACTACATAATTATTAAACAAGAGCAAAGTACTTGGATTATAAATATTAATAATAACATAACAAACTTTGGCTGCACATGTTCTTTTTCCTCTGATTCCACCTGCAAAAGCCAACAGCATATTTTGTTTGGCTAAGTAGTCCTCCTCACCTTGGTCAACTAATGGGGTAAGTCCATCTCCATTTTCTCTCTTTACTGACCACATGTGTAGGTCATCCTTACTCTGTGGCTTGTGCTTTGCCTGTAAAATAATGCCAAAATATTTCATGAAAACCTTTTTTCATTTTCTTGAGCATATTGTTGTATATCACGGTTAATAAAATGTAAAAATATAATAAAATGAAGGACACTAACTTCATGTGATATTGTCCTATGGAATTCTGAGCGATGTCTCCTACGATTGAGGTTGGTGCTGGCAGCAAAAGTCTCTGGTGCAGGTGTTCCTGAAACAAAATTCCCCTAAATCTAGTCTACCTCACATAAGCATGACACTAAATTCATATTTGACACACAACAACAAAAATTATATTATCAGGTAGGTCTACAGCTTCCATCCACCCATACACATTTGTCTACACACCCACACACCACCATATCCCCACCTACGGCCACATCCCTCACAGCCCCACAAAGGCCCACACACATGTAGAGGATGACTCCAAAGTATCAAAGGTAAACATACTTTTTTCAAGGTTACAAAGTTGCAAACACTTGTCACACAGGCCTTGTCTCAGTGGCCGCTGTGAACAACCAGAAGTTGTGATTGTGATCAACTTGTTTCCTATGAGCCAGGTCTGAGACTGACCTCCTGACACCAGCATTTCAGCAACAGTCCCTCTGAAAAACAAACCATAGTATTATCATCCTTGCTCAAGTCAAATCTAATAATTAACCCACTCATGCCAGATGACAATCCATCACATCATGGGTAAACCATAACTCGTGCTGGAATGACATCCAACCACATCATACATGACTGAGCCAGCTCTAAGTTGTGTGTGCTGAGCAGTTCACTTTTTTTGTCCTGGTTAAAGTTATTGGGAAAATTTTACTTTTTTTTTAGCCTTATTACTTAAGCAATACTTCATACCATAGCCAACAGAACAGACTAAATTTATATTTCACAAACTTTTAATTTTTCTCTTCAGTGGTTGACTGTGCCACCCGTTGCATGGTTCGGAATGGCAACTGCAAATCTCACCATGAGTGAATTAACAGAAAACATTGAAACAGTAATCATAAACATTACATAAACAATAGAGAAAATAATGCATCTCTTCCTCTACTTTGACTACCAATCTTTACCTCAAACTTTAGTAACCAGCAAGTACATTCAAACTTACCTTTTGGGCAGAGGTGCGCAGGATGCAAAGGTGTAGCGTGCCATCAAATCAACACACGTCTCCCGCAAGTCATTGTGAAACTGGATCATGTCTATGTCTCCCTTTCCCCTACCCTGTTTAAGAAAGACATGATTATATCTCATCTCAGAACTTTCCTCTTAAATACATTAGTGATGTATTTTTCAAAATAAACAGTCATGTTTAATATACATACATGTAGATATACCACTTTATAAAACAAAAGATATTCAATGAATTAATTTCTGTGCTTGATGATTACTCTGCATACGCAACGCAAGTCTTCTTTTAACCAAAGCTTTTTTGTCTACATGCATGTGTTCCATGGCAGTCAAACTGTGTTTTCAGACCTGGTAAAGTAGTGTAGTTCAGATATATACTGCATATATATGTCTTCTTTTGGATACACTCAGATTTTCATCAAAGAAATCAATAAGAGAATTTTGGCACTCAAACTTGTATGGTGTGCATCTTCATTTTATTCTTATTTTTTTGTTATTACAGAAAAAAAATATATATGCCCACTTTATTGAGATTTTGCTTCCACAAAAGATCCATATATATACACATCCAAGTTTAGTTTTATTCCATTTGTGCTTAAAGCCAACTAGTGCTCTACAACCTAGCACTATAGGAACACTTGCTAAATCTAATGCAAAAAATACCACGCTTCATTTTCCTCATGAAATACACAAATTTTGAAGAATCAAAGACTAATATAAGTCCATTGTGGTTTCAGTTTATCAATTCTGTTTCACATTGATAGCCCCATAATTGCTGTCACTAAAGTCAGGCTTTGACATACCTGATCTACCAGTTTTTGTTGAAATTTTGGAGAGAAAAGTTTTTTCATATCTCTTCATATTGGTAAAATTGAAATTCTATAATAATGCCAATACTAACAATAACAACATTAATAATGATAATTGTAGCATTAGAGATAAAAGACTCGGGAGGGAGAAGGGGCTGGAGGGAGAGAGGGAGAGGGAGAGATGAGAGGAGAGAGAGAGAGAGAGAGAGAGAGAGAGAGAGAGAGAGAGAGAGAGAGAGAGAGAGAGAGAGAGAGAGAGAGAGAGAGAGAGAGAGAGAGATGAGGAAGGAAGGAAGGAAGGAAGGAAGGAAGGAAGGAAGGAAGGAAGGAAGGAAGGAAGGAAGGAAGGAAGGAAGGGAAGGAAGGGGAGGAAGTGGGGAGGATGGGGAAGGAGGGAGGTGGGGAGGAGGGAGGAGGGATGAAAAGGGAGAAATGGATGGACTGAAAGAGAAGAGGGAGGGATGAAAGTAGAGAGAAGAGAGAGAGGGAGGGAGAGAGGGAGGAGGGATGGAAGGAGGGATATAGAGAGAGAGATAGAGAGAAAGGGAGGGAGAAAGAGGGGGAAAGGGATAGACTGAGAGAGAAGAGGGAGGGATGAAAGTAGAGAGAGAGGGAGGGAGGAGGGAGGGAGGGAGGGAAGGAGGGATATAGAGAGAGAGATAGAGAGAAAGGGAGGGAGAAAGAGGGGGAAAGGGATAGACTGAGAGAGAAGAGGGAGAGGAGGGAGGGAGGAGGGAGGGAGGGAGGAGGGAAGGGAGAGAGAGAGAGAAAGAGAGAGAGAGAGAGAGAGAGAGAGAGAGAGAGAGAGAGAGAGAGAGAGAGAGAGAGAGAGAGAGAGAGAGAGAGAGAGAGAGAGAGAGAGAGAGAGAGAGAGAGGAGAGAGAGGAGAGAGAGAGGGAGAGAGAGAGGGAGAGAGAGAGGGAGAGGGAGAGGAGAGGGAGAGGGAGAGAGGGAGAGGAGAGAGGAGAGGGAGAGGGAGAGGGAGAGGGAGAGGGAGAGGGAGAGAGAGAGGAGAGGGAGAGGTGAGAGGGAGAGGGAGAGGGAGAGGGAGAGGGAGAGGGAGAGGGGAGAGAGAGGAGAGGAGAGAGAGGAGAGAGAGGGAGAGGAGAGGGAGAGGAGAGGGAGAGGGAGAGGAGAGAGGGAGGGAGGGAGAGGGAGAGAGGGAGAGAGGGAGAGGGGAGAGAGGGAGAGAGGAGGGAGGGAGGGAGGGAGGGAGGGAGGGAAGGAGGGAAGGAGGGAGGGAGGGAAGTAGGGAGAGAGGAAGGAGGGAGAGAGGGAGGAGGGAGAGAGAAGGAAGGAGGAGAGAGGGAGGGAGGGAAGGAGGAAGGAAGAGGGAAGGAAGGAGGAAGAGGGAAGGGAAGGGAGGGAAGTAGGGAGGAGGAAGGAGGGAAGTAGGGAGAGAGGGAAGGAGGGAAGTAGGGAGAGAGGGAAGGAGGGAAGTAGGGAGAGAGGGAAGGAGGAGAGGAGGGAAGGAGGGAGAGAGGGAGGAGAGAGAGGAGGAGGGAGGAGGGAGGGAGAGAGGGAAAGGAAGAGGGAGGGAGGGAAGTAGAGAGGGAGATAGAGAGGGAGGTAAGCCAAGTCATTGACTCCTTGGTGACCCCCCACCATCTGTGCTTAAATGAAACAGACAAGGCAAAACTACAGTGTCCATCTACCTTGTACCAATACATATACACTTCCCTTATAAATATCTGAACTTTGACACATTAGATAGTAGACAGTCAACGAGAGCATCTCCCTCAAGACCTCAGAATTTCTTGTCATTGACTGGAAGACTAAAAATATGCTCACAATGCACAAAGAAAGAAGAAAGGACAAGAACGCTACCAAGGTGCTTCTGACGAGACACTCTGCCACTGAGGGCTGAACACATAATGACAAGATTCTTGCTTTAAGTCAGCGATTAAAGTCATGCTTTCAAGGAGAGGGGCAGCTAAATATGTCCCCTACATGCTTATCAATATTTGGAAAATCTAAGCTTCAAAGAAACAGTGAAGGTACACGGACAATTCGTTCACAAAAAGCTCAGTAAGTCTAGCTCACAGTCAAAAGCCTAATGTTATTAATAGTTGAAATCTAATGAAGTTATACATATTTTCAAGCAGTTTCGTAATCATTAGTTTTATTCCATTTTCTTTTTTAGTCTCCATATTGACGAAGAATAGTCGGCTTTGAGATGAAACCTTAAGCTAACATCTTGAATACAAAATATGTTACTCTTACTAAATTCTCTGCATTAAAAAGCAAGTGTTCACATAGATTTGTTCAAAACAGAGACGCAAACAATTCTGAGCGAAAAAATTGAGATAGTGAGCTGGATCAATTCCAGTTCGAAATATCTAGAATATCTGTCGCTCAAAATTGTTCTTGTCTTTCAATACATCATGACATTCTCCGTATCATACAGTGTTCAAAGGTGGCTCAGCTTCACTGTTATATATTTCTTCAAGACGTTTGTGAGAGAACGACTGAGACCGAGCCATTTTTGCTCGAGCAAGGAGTATTGCCTGTAAATTTTCAGTAGAATTGAAAACAAGATGTTAAGTTCACAAAATTCATTACATCAGGAATAGTCAAACACACACTTAAAAATACTTATCGAACTGATTCTCTACAAGTATCTGAGTAATTACATTAAACAGGCAGTAGCATTTTAAAAACTTGATAAAACCCGTTAATGCATTCAATACAATCATGACGTGCACTCAACAGTGTCTGAATAAATCCTTGTTATATATATTATATTTTCCTATATCTCTATCTTTAACAACTTCTTTTAATTTAGGAGGTAATCCAAAACTTTAGATGCAATGTAACTCGGACAAATGATAAAATTTCATGTTTTCTTTGTGGCGTGAAATGCTATATCAAAAATTACTGTTGCCCCTTGATGCTTTCAAAGGGATGCCCCTTTTTATTTTGCTAAACCTTATCCTTGGTATAATCTGGTATACTCGTTATATTATGAAAATATATTCAGCATTAGAGTTTAGTGGAACTATCTCTTGGTTTCTAAATAAACCAATAAAATTCTCAGTTACCAACCATAACACAATAACTATATCTACACATCAGCATAAAACAAAAGAGAATGTGCTTCTATTCTAAACCAATCTTTTCATGGTCTTTATCTATACTGGTATTACCATGTTTACTACATTTAAGTCATCACCAATTTTCATAATACTTTGCAGTCTTGATCTCATCAGAGAGTAATTCACACAAGTACTAATCAAAATATAAAATCACCAATGGTTGTCATGGATTACCAAGATTTAATCTTTCTGCAAGCCCTGTACAAATAATACTTTTTCTTTCTTTTCTTTCTTTCTTTCTTTCTTTCTTTCTTTCTTTCTTTCTTTCTTTTTAGTAACAAAGCAGGAATACACTTTCTGAATACCAACAATTTCCTCAGACTTCTTAGCTTTCTTGTCCATTTGCCCGAAATAGCTATTCCCATTCCTGTCCTCATTCTTATTTGTCACCTCATCTAGCAGTACTCAGCATGAGGATTTCCTAAAATATAGTTTTATTTCTCGTACCTCTTTCATGTACTCAAAATCTTGTGCATTGTCTCGGCTTTTGAACTGATCTTGCCTTCTACTATCGGCAGAGCACAAGAAAATGTATCCACATTCTCTGATTGTAAATTTGACATTACTGACATACACTGCAATGACTAAATAACCACAGTGATGAACAGGTGTGCACAAACACCCACACCAAGTAGAAGTGTTTGTGCCGAAGCTGATGTAACTGCAGCAGGTGTATCTTGAGTGTATCTAAGCTTGTGGAGTGGGAAAGATAAGCAAAAGTGGAAGCATTTAACACATCCAGCACATAATAATCCAGAAACCAGAGACAGTCAAGTGGAAGGTTGAATGATTTTTTTAAGCCTCAAAGTCACTTTCTTATATGCAAGGATATAAAATGTTGAAGTAAATCCCTATATCCATATGCATGCATACAGACACACACACAAGCCTGCACATGCAAGCACACATGCACAGATATACAAACACACACACACACTCACACTAACACTCACTCACTCACTCACTCACTCACTCACTCACTCACTCACTCACTCTCTCTCTCTCTCTCACACACACACAAACTCAACTCACACACACATTCATGCACACGCCACACAACACACACACACACACACACACACACACACACACACACACACACACACACACACACACACACACACACACACACACACACTCAACACTCACTCACACTCTCACACTCACTCACTCACTCACTCACTCACTCACCACTCACTCACACTCACTCACACACTCACTCACTCACTCACTCACTCACTCACACACTCACGTCACTCTCACTCACACTTCACTCACTCTCACTCACTTCACTCACACTCACTCACACTCACTCACTTCTCACTCACACTCACTCACTCACTCACTCACACAACTCACTCGCACTCACTCACTCACACACTCACTCACACTCACTCACTCTCACTCAACTCCACTCACACTCACTCACTCACACTCACTCACTCACACTCTCACACTCACTCACTCACACTCACACTCACACTCACACACTCACTTCACTCAACTCACTCACACACTCATACTCACTCACTCACACTCACAACACTCACACACTCACACTCACTCCACACTCACTCACTCACTCACTCACTCACACTCAACTCAACACTCACTCACTCACACTCACTCACACTCACTCACTCACACTCACACTCACACTCACTCACTCACACTCACTCACACTCACTCACACTCACACTCACTCACTCACTCACTCACCTTCAAACTCACTCACACTCACTCACTCACACTCACTCACTCACTCACACTCACTCACTCACTCACACTCACTCACTCACTCACTCACACACTCACTCTCACTCTCACCCACTCACTCACTCACTCACACTCACTCACTCACTCACTCACACACTTATATATATCCTGTGATTTTATGCCTGACAAATGCATAACCATAAACCATTAACATATGAAAAATATAAGGAAATCATAGTTTATAATGAAGCATGATCATATATCATAGTAAACCTAATATAACAGTTTTCAACTTTGTCACCAATACAAGTCCTATTTTCAATCTAATATCACTGGGTATATTACAAAATATGATGAAGTATTTTTGAAAGGTATTTCCATGTCAGAATAGAATAAGTTCCAAAAAGATTAAGATCCGCTGGGACACTGACAAACTTGAATAAAAAAAAAAAAAAAATCGTAAATCATAAATACAGGTTCAAAATATCAAAATCAAAAACTCCTGATGGATACATATGTTCATGCATTACTAATAAAGCAAAACGAAAAAAAAAACTGAGTATAGCCATTCTTTTGAAAATAAAAACTGGTGATAACTTTTCACTCATGACTTAAATCCATGAATGAAATCTACAACAGCCTTCTAAAATTTATTCACTATGGAAAGACCATGAAAAGCAGTGGATGGCACCACTAGCAGAGAGAGGAAATTTGATAACAATGAAGGCGTGAAGAACCGAAAAAATACATGTCTAAGCCTTATTTTATTTTAACTATCTCATCTTTTATAACCTGACGTCTCTATGCCAAAAAAATCAACGATATAAGAGACACCAGAAACTGAGCTTATAATTACCTGTTCGCTGGCACTTGCACTTCTTCTTCGTGTGGCAGCCTCTTCATTTGTTAGAATCATGTTTAAATTCTGGAAAAAACATTTTTTTTAAATTGGTGGAAAAACACAGATAGAATTTCCATTATGCTAAAGTTCATTATACTTCCCTCTTTATCTTTGCCGAATACCAATCATTACTTATCATTATCAATCAGCTACACACAACACTCTCAGCTCAGAAATATACCAATCAACTTAAAAGCTTGCAACTAGGCCTAATTGTAAAGACTTGTCTCCTAATCGCTAAATACTGAACTAGAACACCAAAATCATGAAAGAATATCAAATGTGGAGAGCGAGAGATGGAGAGAAGAAGAAAGAGAGAGAGAAAGAAAGAGAGAGGAAGAAAGAGAGAGGAAGAGAGGGAGAAGAGAGAGAGAGGAGGAAGAGAGAGGAGGAAGAAAGAGAGAGGAGAAGAGAGAGGAAGAGAGAGGGGGAGAGAGAGAGACAGAGAGGGAGGGAGGGAGGGAGGGAGGGAGGGAGGGAGGGAGGGAGGAGGGAGGGAGGGAGGGAGGGAGGAGGAGGGAGAGAGGGAGAGAGAGAGAGGGAGAGGAGAGAGAGAGAGAGAGAGGAGGAGAGAGAGAGAGAGAGAGAGAGAGAGAGAGAGAGAGAGAGAGAGAGAGAGAGAGAGAGAGAGAGAGAGAGAGAGAGAGTGAGAGGAGAGAGAGTGAGAAGAGAAGAGAGAGAGAGAGAGAGAGAGAGAGAGAGAGAGAGAGAGAGAGAGGAGAGAGAGAGAGAGAGAGAGAGAGAGAGAGAGAGAGACAAAGAGACTAACCTTAGATATAAATGGCACAAAATGCCTTCTGAAAGGAAGTCGGCACTTGAGGAACCACATGGCAATGACGTGGTATGCAAGTGACACAATATAATGGTTGAACTTGAATGGATTTGTGTACGGTATAGCAATCGCAAAGATTGACATGTACTGGTCAGACACAAAACTGGCATACACTTTTGGCAGGTGGAGCAAAGCTGGGGATACAAAACACGGAAAATTAATCCAGAGAAACAATGTATTGGCCTAGTTTGTTCCAAGTATCCATTCAACCCCATATGTCGCAACCTGAAATGGAACAGCATCACGTCGATACTTACTTGAAAGAAATTCTAAGATTGGTTGAGCATTTTGGACAGTGGCAGTTATCTTCGAGAGGTTTATCATGACCTCTCGAAGCAGTTTGATCATCGAATCTCTCATTTCCAGAACGCACAAGGTCAGAGCACCACACAATGGCCCGGCCATCTTACTAAAACACCAGCTCCAGGCATTTAATGACCGCTGTTAATAATACCTAATTCAATCACCTTGTTAACAAGGAAAACCATACTATTGATCTCAAAATTAATAAAAAATATCAATATAAATAATATAGTATTACTAATAAAAACGAATAAATAAAATTATACATAGATCTAAATCCACAACCTGCATGGACCAACCTACAACATTATAACAAAAAACACATAATCATTAAGTCAAAACAATAAATATTCTCTCTCCTTTCTTCACACACTGTCCTAAACAGAGAAGTAATCAATAATTCTAACAGAAATTGACCCTCCCGTGCATACTTCTTGCTGGGACACGGACTTTCTTTAATGCAATGGTGGTACATGCCCAAGTGCCAAAACTGGAAAGGACGAAGCTCTGGAAAATCTGACTTGGTGATTTTTTGCCGGGTATTGTGTAGAGATTCTGGCAACCCCTAAGAGACTTTTCCCGTAATCCTGGTGACACAGAAAAAAGGAAAAAGCGACAGAGCATTAGTTTGGAATTGTGTTCCTGGAAGCCTGGGGAAAGTTGATTCATAACAAAACACTTCATTTTCATATTTTAAAAACCTACTTAGATATCTATATTGGACCACATCTATCTAATCATTCTCTCAAGATTAACAAAAAAAAAAAAAAAAAAAAAAAAAAAAAAAAAAAAAAAAAAAAAAAATAAAAAAAAAAAAAAAAAAAAAAAAAAAAAAAAAAAAAAAAAAAAAAAAAAAAAAAAAAAAAAAAAAAAAAACATTAGAGGAAAAAGACACAAGCTGAATGGAACGTCATACCTACAAAATCCTACCACACCAGAAAGCACAGAGAGCAGCGCAAAAGTAGTCGATATCATGTGCCACATCCACGGGAGACCAGGGATAAGTCCTTGTTGTTCTCAGGATCCTGCGGCAATTAACATCACGCGTCCAAAATCATCCGCCAGACTTCCCAATCTGCCAGCCGAGAATTTTTGGGGTTATTTAACGGAGATGTGCGTATAGGCCTTGCTTTTACTACGTTATAACGGAAATGCAGTTGGTGTACAATTAGTTTAAGAAGTTTATTTCATGACTCATGACAAATGTATGAATAGTGTTAAAATATGAATGAAAGCAACAATATTTCTAGTAATAGGTGGTGAATTTAAATCTTGACACAATTGTTTGACCCAGACATCCATCCATCCATGATTACAGTGGGAAAAAATAAAATTATATTGCTCAAGTCTTGTCCTCATCTTATTTTTTTTTGGTCTCTCTTTCTATGTGATACAAGTAATACCATATCTTAATATCTACATAACTACCTTCGGGCAGCTTAATTTCTTCGAAAAAACACTGATATATGAACTCTACAGAAAACATTTCAGCAACAGGACTCAGTTCCGGTTCATTGTATCATGTTACAATACAAATAACAATAAAATATCAAGAACAATCATTGCTCTCACAATCGAAGAGCTGCCATACTGGGTAAATGGGAAGTATCTGTATCTGGTAATTATCTACTTCTCATTTAAAACCAAACAGGATGAACAGTTATGATACACCTCCATCATGGATCCATACTTTTTTAAACAGCATAAAGCACTTGTTACAGTCGAAACTGTCCTCATTTGTAATCAGTGAGTAAGTGAATAAGATATCAAATATTGCAAAATATTCCTCATTCTCGAACTCTTATTTAATCCGTCAATAATATAGTAAATGAATTGAATTTGTGCAAGACTACTAAAGAAAGAACCAATGTACAATTTCAACAAGAATTACTGATCACTAGACAAAAGTCTAACATATACACGAAGCCATTTACATCATTATGACAGTCATTCTCAGGAGAAAGATTTAAAACCACATAACAAGTTAATCACTTAATTTATCACAGACCAAAAATTCCACATACCTTTTTTCTTTCTCATAAAAGCACAAATAACTAGTCATGGCAGATTGTGTTAGCGAAAGTGTGTGACCTCCACCTTGGGCTGCGCGGAGAACGTGGAGTGGGCATGACAGTGCTCCCTCAGGTTTTCGTTGACTTTGCCTCACTGCAATAATCCTGCCATATAGACCATCTAGACCATTAGTGTCAATGAAAAAGCATTTGTCCAAGTAAAGAACGTTAATTTCCGATAGATAAGTTACTGAATGAGAAAAATGTCAGAAGATTTTTTTCTTTCAAAA